TTCAAGATCAGGCATGCTCCTTCTTGAAACACTCTCTTATTTTTATGTGATTGGTAAGTTAGAAATGGTCTGCATTTATGCCCAAATATGGTCATAAGGAATCAATCTTTTGATGCCTCCATATTTTGATTCCAAAGGTCTAGTTTGCCCAACTGAATTGGAATAGCAATTTGAAATGCAAGATAACGGTGCTCGCCTCTCCATCTCTGTGACGCACTGATTCCTAGGTACCATTCTAATTCACCTCCTTGCACGGCGCTTCAAATAATTTTCTTGGACCTTTTAATGTAACCGTCACCCTTTTACAACGAATGTAACGGAAGTTAGCAGGGATTCAGCAGGGGTTCAGCAGGGATTCAGCAGGGATCGACGGCCCCCCCGATTTCGCTGAATTTTTGTGGAAAGGTGCAGAATGGTGTCCTCTATCGAAAATCCTAGTGCCAAAATGCGGGGAATCCATCAGGGGGGCCAAAAATCCAAAAAAACAGTATGCCCTCAGGGCACAATCGACGAACTTTGAAAACCCTACTTCTAGCCGTCCAAACAGCTAAAAATGCACGTCATTCGAAAGAGGACAAAATTTTACGTACAACGGTATCAAATTTAGGGGGCTAGCGCCCCCCTGAACCGAACAAAACAGCTTCAAATATATGGGCCCGGGAGTATGCCCTCGGGGCATAAATAAACGTTTTCAACAATTTCAGTCCTAAAACATCGACAAAATCCAGCAATATGCACATCATTGGAAAGAGCGTAATTTCCCAAACAAAAAACCCAAGTAACATTTTTCGATGGGGCCCACCTGGGGCCCACGGGACCCAATTGAAATTTGGGGCCCAATGGGGCGGCCCCTACGATTTTCTTCAAAATTTGCACAGACACTCTCCTGGGCCCCCTCTTCAATCTGGCTGAAGAAACATACCGGGGAATCCAAAGGAAGGGGCCCAAAGAGGGCCCCAAAGAGGCCCTTTCTAAGTATTGCCCCTAATTTCGCGACCAACCCCGGCAATATGCACATCATTGGAAAGAGCGTAATTTCCCAAACAAAAAACCCAAGTAACATTTTTCTATGGGGCCCACCTGGGGCCCACTAGACCCAATTGAAATTTGGGGCCCAATGGGGCGGCCCCTACGATTTTCTTCAAAATTTGCACAGACACTCTCCTGGGCCCCCTCTTCAATCTGGCTGAAGAAACCTACCGGGGAATCCAAAGGAAGGGGCCCAAAGAGGGCCCAGAAGAGGCCCTGTCTAAGTATTGCCCCTAATTTCGCGACCAACCCCGGCAATATGCACATCATTGGAAAGAGTGTAATTTCCCAAACAAAAAACCCAAGTAACATTTTTCGATGGGGCCCACCTGGGGCCCACGGGACCCAATTGAAATTTGGGGCCCAATGGGGCGGCCCCTACGATTTTCTTCAAAATTTGCACAGACACTCTCCTGGGCCTCCTCTTCAATCTGGCTGAAGAAACCTACCGAAGAATCCAAAGGAAGGGTCCCAAAGAGGGCCCCAAAGAGGCCCTGTCTAAGTATTGTCCCTAATTTGGCGAACAACCCCGGCAATATGCACATCATTGGAAAGAACGTAATTTCCCAAACAAAAAACCCAAGTAACATTTTTCGATGGGGCCTACCTGGGGCCCACGGGACCCAATTGAAATTTGGGGCCCAATGGGGCGGCCCCTACGATTTTCTTCAAAATTTGCACAGACACTCTCCTGGGCCCCCTCTTCAATCTGGCTGAAGAAACCTACCGGGGAATCCAAAGAAAGGGGCCCAAAGAGGGCCCCAAAGAGGCCCTGTCTAAGTATTGCCCCTAATTTCGCGACCAACCCCGGCAATATGCACATCATTGGAAAGAGCGTAATTTCCCAAACAAAAAACCCAAGTAACATTTTTCGATGGGGCCCACCTATGTCCCACGGGACCCAATTGAAATTTGGGGCCCAATGGGGCGGCCCCTACGATTTTCTTCAAAATTTGCACAGACACTCTCCTGGGCCCCCTCTTCAATCTGGCTGAAGAAACCTACCGGGGAATCCAAAGGAAGGGGCCCAAAGAGGGCCCCAAAGAGGCCCTTTCTAAGTATTGCCCCTAATTTCGCGACCAACCCCGGCAATAAGCACATCATTGGAGAGAGCGTAATTTCCCAAACAAAAAACCCAATTAACATTTTTCGATGGGGCCCACCTGGGGCCCACGGGACCCAATTGAAATTTGGGGCCCAATGGGGCGGCCCCTACGATTTTCTTCATAATTTGCACAGACACTCTCCTGGGCCCCCTCTTCAATCTGGCTGAAGAAACCTACCGGGGAATCCAAAGGAAGGGGCCCAAAGAGGGCCCCAAAGAGGCCCTTTCTAAGTATTGCCCCTAATTTCGCGACCAACCCCGGCAATAAGCACATCATTGGAAAGAGCGTAATTTCCCAAACAAAAAACCCAATTATAATTTTTCGATGGGGCCCACCTGGGGCCCACGGGACCCAATTGAAATTTGGGGCCCAATGGGGCGGCCCCTACGATTTTCTTCAAAATTTGCACAGACACTCCCCTGGGCCCCCTCTTTGATCTGGCTGAAGAAACATACCGGGGAATCCAAAGTAAGGGGCCCAAAGAGGGCCCCAAAGAGGCCCTTTCTAAGTATTGCCCCTAATTTCGCGACCAACCCCGGCAATATGCACATTATTGGAAAGACCGTAATTTCCCAAACAAAAAACCCAAGTAACATTTTTCGATAGGGCCCACCTGGGGCCCACGGGACCCAATTGAAATTTGGGGCCCAATGGGGCGGCCCCTACGATTTTCTTCAAAATTTGCAGACACTCTCCTGGGCCCCCTCTTCAATCTGGCTGAAGAAACCTACCGGGGAATCCAAAGGAAGGGTCCCAAAGAGGGCCCCAAAGAGGCCCTGTCTAAGTATTGCCCCTAATTTCGCGACCAATCCCGGCAATATGCACATCATTGGAAAGAACGTAATTTCCCAAACAAAAAACCCAAGTAACATTTTTCGATGGGGCTACCTGGGGCCCACGGGACCCAATTGAAATTTGGGGCCCAATGGGGCGGCCCATACGATTTTCTTCAAAATTTGCACACTCTCCTGGGCCCCCTCTTCAATCTGGCTGAAGAAACCTACCGGGGAATCCAAAGGAAGGGGCCCAAAGAGGGCCCCAAAGAGGCCCTGTCTAAGTATTGCCCCTTATTTCGCGACCAACCCCGGCAATATGCACATCATTGGAAAAAGCGTAATTTCCCAAACAAAAAACCCAAGTAACATTTTTCGATGGGGCCCACCTGGGGCCCACGGGACCCAATTGAAATTTGGGGCCCAATGGGGCGGCCCCTACGATTTTCTTCAAAATTTGCACAGACACTCTCCTGGGCCCCCTCTTCAATCTGGCTGAAGAAACCTGCCGGGGAATCCAAAGGAAGGGTCCCAAAGAGGGCCCCAAAGAGGCCCTGTCTAAGTATTGCCCCTATTTCGCGACCAACCCCGGCAATATGCACATCATATTGCCCCATTGGGCCCCAAATTTCAATTGGGTCCCGTGGGCCCCAGGTGGGCCCCATCGAAAAATGATACTTGGGTTTTTTGTTTGGGAAATTACGCTCTTTCCAATGATGTGCATATTGCCGGGGTTGGTCGCGAAATTAGGGGCAATAATTAGACAGGGCCTCTTTGGGGCCCTCTTTGGGCCCCTTCCTTTGGATTCCCCGGTAGGTTTCTTCAGCCAGATTGAAGAGGGGGCCAGGAGAGTGTCTGTGCAAATTTTGAAGAAAATCGTAGGGGCCGCCCCATTGGGCCCCAAATTTCAATTGGGTCCCGTGGGCCCCAGGTAGGTCCCATCGAAAAATGTTACTTGGGTTTTTTGTTTGGGAAATTACGTTCTTTCCAATGATGTGCATATTGCCAGGGTTGGTCGCGAAATTAGGGGCAATACTTAGACAGGGCCTCTTTGGGGCCCTCTTTGGGACCCTTCCTTTGGATTCCCCGGTAGGTTTCTTCAGCCAGATTGAAGAGGGGGCCCAGGAGAGTGTCTGTGCAAATTTTGAAGAAAATCGTAGGGGCCGCCCCATTGGGCCCCAAATTTCAATTGGGTCCCGTGGGCCCCAGGTGGGCCCCATCGAAAAATGTTACTTGGGTTTTTTGTTTGGGAAATTACGCTCTTTCCAACGATGTGCATATTGCTGGATTTTGTCGATGTTTTAGGACTGAAATTGTTGAAAACGTTTATTTATACCCCGAGGGCATACTCCCGGGCCCACATATTTGAAGCTGTTTTGTTCGGTTCAGGGGGGCGCTAGCCCCCTAAATTTGATACCGTTGTACGTAAAATTTTGTCCCCTTTCGAATGACGTGCATTTTTAGCTGTTTGGACGGCTAGAAGTAGTGTTTTCAAAGTTCGTCGATTGTGCCCTGAGGGCATACTGTTTTTTGGGATTTTTGGCCCCCCTGATGGATTCCCCGCATTTTGGCACTAGGATTTTCGATAGAGGACACCATTTTGCACCTTTCCACCAAAATTCAGCGAAATCGGGGGGGCCGTCGATCCCTGCTGAATCCCTGCTGAACCCCTGCTGAATCCCTGCTAACTTCCGTTACATTTACAACGAAGCAAGTTAAAAGATAATATCAATATCCTCAATTTTGATTTCCTATCGACTATCAACGGGCAAACAATTAGGGGAGGGGGGAGGGGCTCCACGTCATAATCGTCTACGCTGCGTCATTTCTCCTCACAATATTTCCTAGACTTTTGAAAAATATCGTTTCTATATTTTTTCAATAATTCTATTTTTGTTTGCTTCTCTGAGTGTTAGAACATGTTTTTGGAATTTGTTTTTGAATTCAATGAATTATAATATTTAATAATATAAGCGCGATCAATGCCTGTCAATTTATCTTACTGAGACAAACGCGGCTATTTTGAATTTTCAGGCGTCATAAATGAAAACACGGACACGCGACTCTGTTGTTGACTCTGTGAAAGATTGATTTGGAGGTTGTGTATATTTTTATATTTTTCATTTCGACGTTACTTTGCTCGAAAATTTTGAAGAAAAATAAGACGACGGTTGCTTTATTTAGCTACCAACTTTGAAAACATTTTGGCTACTGTGGATATCAATTTCTGTTGGTGATTTGTTCTGAAAATGCTTGGTTTTGTGATGAATTTCTCCAGTCTTGGTTTTTATGGTTACCCTAATTGTTTGGAAAGGTTTTATGCGATCATAATATTTTTATTGCTTTGCATCTTACATTGCACATGCTTGCATAATCATTTTGACATGGTATGCAGTGTGCAGATATTGATATTGATAGATAACGACTATTCAGTGTCAGTGTTGGTGTGGGTTTTGGTTTGATACAGAGGATCTGCTGCTGAGCTATGCATGACACCACTCTGACTGGGCCTTACTAACAACTGGATAAAATAAGCTGACTGGCCAGCTGGCGACGTACGATAGCTGCTATGTTATTTATTGATATAAACACAGTAGGAGATGAACATGAACACATGTTCATGTTCATCTCCTTCTGTGTTTATACATTTTACATTTTACGTACGTAAAATGGTACTCATAGAAAAGTTTAAAGATAGATGGCTAGTTATTTGTATCTGGCATTGATATGCAACAAGCTCTGCTAGCGCCACCATACAGCGCCCGCTGGCAAATCGTCCAGAAAATAGTACAGCCCCTCTGACTCAGTCAGGCACTGACTCATGACTGGCTTTCCCTTGGTACCATTATAATATATTACAGGCGACACTTAGAATACATACCAATTGGGAACTGTGAAAAGCTTTTTGATGACTTAAGTATCACCATATTATATATTAATATGTTGTAGAGTCGAATAGAAGGATCTGGATGACGTTACATGACGATGATGAAGGATGACGGTATTATTACTCATTATATTGACGTGCAGTGTCAAATGCAATCTGACTCTGTAGTCTGTACCACTTTAGGGTCTGCACTGCTAAGACAAAACCAGGAACCTGTTTCTAGCAAATTTCCTACACGTACTGTTGCCAGAACAATTTGTAGCACAGTGTACTGTGGTAGAGCTACACTGGCTGAGAATCAAATTTTGTAAGGCTGTTGGAAATATATGCAGAAATATGTTTGTAGTTCCAACAACTTCCATGTTCGAAGGCAACAAGAAATTGCTGGTTTTGAGGGTGAAAGAATGTTGTGTACTTGTAGTGAAATTAAAGCTGCTTAAATTGATCAGCTGTATTTTCAGTGTCCAGTGCCAACTAATGGAGTCTGAATCAGAAGATACCGGCCTCTCTCACACTGGACCATTGTCACAAGGAGCATTCACATATCGCAAGAGCATCGGGAGATGGTATGTTCCTGTTCTGTACAGTGCCTTCTTGCTACATGACCAGTGCTGTTCACCTTTGTGGCTATTTGCTCTGGATCAGTACCCTTGTTACCCTGGTGATAAGCTGCAACCAGGACTGTTGATTTATGATGTGTGATTGGTTTGCTAACTGCATATTAAATGGAACATTCAGCATTGAGCATACCTTTCAAGGTTGTTTGCAAGCTGTGCAACAGTCTTTTACCCTGACAGTGTAACTCCCTGGCTTTTATTAAATGTTCACATTTCATACGAGCTACTTAAGTTACAGGGTGTGTCTGTATGTAGCGGAAAAGTATACAGTGTAAGTGGTGCATTACATCTGTTTGTTCGACTTTTGACCGTCGCCGTGTTACGGCAGTCTGACGCTGCGGCCCCAGCGTGTGCCGGCGAGCTCGATCCGCGATGAGAACAACAGCGGCGACGAGGATGGCCAGGCGGACACGGCCACGCCGTCCAACTCGGCTACCATCGGCACGGTCTCGGCCATCCTGGCCGCCGGCAGGTGGGCGCCCGGCGCGCGCGGTCGGTCCTTCTTAGCAGAGGAGAGCTCCCCGGTGGTGTCGTCAGATCGCAGTTCATGCATAGGAGTTCCAGCTTTTATAAGGCATTTTGTGTCGAACTTTGCACTGCTTGTTGTCACTCACCTATATTTCAGTTCTAATGAAGAGTATGGATGACGTTGTTAGTTAATATCTGGATAACCTCATCGATAATTACCATTTTTAGGCATAACGATATTACGATAAGTACGATGATTCCGTTATTGGTTCGGGTGTCCCGTGTCTGCTCTGTGTGCGTCACACGCCTCTGGTCCTCCCAACAGGCGCCTGGAGCGGAACCCGAGCGGCGAGCCGCCGCCGTCCAACTCGTGTCCGGACAAGGAGAACATGTCCGGCCGCGGCCTGGTGCACCCGTACGACCTGCTGACGCCACTGCCGCGTCGCACCGGACCGACGCCGGCGACCGGCAGCGGCCGCACGCCGCGCCAGCCGCTCAGCCGCATCGACACGCCGTACAAGGTGGCCGAGCCGGACACCGCGCCGCCGCCCCCGGCCGCCGGCGCCGTCAAGCGGCCGTTTGTGTTCGGCGAGCCGTCCGCCGAGAAGCGGCCGCCGCTGCAGCACGCCTCTCGCTCGCACTCGTCGCTGCAGTCTGCGGCGTCGGCGGCGCGGCTGACGCCCGGGCTCAGCCGCGGCCTCTCCGAGGGACGGCTGACGGACGTGGGCGCGGTGCGGCGCTCCATGCCCGTGATCTCGGAGCGCTCGGCGGATAGCACGCCGCCCGAACAGCGCGTGGCGCCGCTGAACCAGTCGGGCTCGGCGCCGGCGAGCGGACCGACAGCACGCGTGTCGCCGGCACCGTCCGCCGAGCCGACGGGGCCGCTGGAACCGCGCCGAGCCGCGGCGACGCCCTACCGGCGGGCTGAGCTCGGCGCGGACAGACTGGCGGCGCCGGCGGACACACTCTGTGGTGTACCTCAGACTGGGGCAGGCTCCGCGCGCGAGTACCAGTCCACCGCCTACCGGGCGGGTCAGACCGGCGTCGGAGCCGCTCCCGCGCCGTCCGTCTCACATTGTGGCACAGCCGACGGGCCGGGCGCCCGATCACACGCCCGCCTGGGCTACCGACAGGACCCGACCGCCGGGCTAGGCCAGCAGCACACGCCCCGGCCCCGGGTGGTCGGCCAGCTGACGACGGCGTCTGCTCAGCGTGTGCCCATCTCCAGCCACCTTTCGTCATCCTCAACCTTCAACCGTGTCTCCGAGTCCCGGCAGACCGCCTATCACGCGTCAGTATCTAGTGCCGTTCAGTCGAGACTGGGTCAGTCGGTGACTGGCTCGGCCGTCTCCGCGGCCACCACGGTCGTCTCGGCCTCCAGCGTCCACGTATCGAGCTCTGTGTGTGGGTCCTCGGCGTCTGTGCTTAGCGCGGCCCCGCGGGTACCGTCCGGGCCGGTGGCGGACGGCCCGGGTCGGCCCAGGACCGCCCCGCCGCCTCCGTCACTGGTAGAGCACGGGACGCAGACGGAGGAGTCGGGCAGCACGTCTATGCCGCCGCCGCCCACCGAGCTGTTCTTCGGTAAGCGGCAGCTGCGGACGCTGACTGTCAACCATCGGGACTACATTGTCATGAAGCAGATCGGACGCGGCGGATCCAGCAAGGTGCTTCAGGTGAGTCAAATCGACGCAGATTCAGACGTGGGAGAGGCTGGTGCCTGGTAGTCAGGCAGCAGCTGGGTATTAGCCAGGCACTCCGAGCTCTCTAGCTATCAGAACTTGTCCGTTCTGACTTCTGAAACTGCTTCATATAGTGCCTTGATCTAGATTTGCGGCGTGGAGGACGGCCTTTTCAACTGACTTACGTTGAGCGCCTTCATTCGCGTGTCTTGTCACTGTTTCATTGTTCGTCGTTCTTTGTTTATCGTTCTTTGTGCGTGGTTTGTCCGTAGCCGGGATCTGTGCCACGACTAGTCTGTCTTGTATTATCATGACTGCCCTTTGACACCACCATCTCTGTGCCAGGTTTTCGACTCGGACATGCGCTCGCTGGCCATCAAGCAGGTGTACCTGGAGAACACGGACGACGCCACGGCCAACGGCTACAAGAACGAGATCGAGCTGCTGCGCTCGCTCCGCCACTCGGACCGCGTGGTGCAACTGATGGACTTGTGAGTGAACCCGGCGGCGGCGCGGGGAGAGTAGAGCGTAGTGCCATAGGGGTGTGGTGCTGGCTGAGATGATAACTCTGATCTGGGTGGGTTTGATTATTAGAACTATGAATCATCAGATGTTTCCGATTATAAACGGAAATAAAAGCATGCAACTCTGCCATCAAAAACACTACCATAAACAGCACTGCCATTGATAGGAGCATGCAACGTTGTCATCTGCCCAATTCAGTACCAGGCTGTATTGATCTCATCACATTTGCTGAACAAGTGTAGTCATCTTATGGAGACGCTGACCGACGCCTGACACCTGAAGTTTTGCTTGTCTCCCTCAGCGAGCACCGCGTCACGGACCAGATGTTATACATTGTGATGGAGAAGGGTGACACGGACCTCACCAAGCTGCTGCAGTCGTACACTCGCCTGAACGAGGTGGACGCCAACATGTGCAAGTTCTTCTGGGGAGAGATGCTCCGCTGTGTGGACGTCATCCACAAGGAGAGTGAGTATCCATGGAGGACGGGCGGGGTGGAGAAATAAGGACTGAAGGGAAGCGTGAGGATGAAGAAAGCAGGGCTAGTACTGAATGAAGGCACGGAAGCAGCGGAGCAGAAACCGTAGGAGGAAAACTGTTCTGACTACCAGGTGTGTTAGGGGAATGTTGAAGAACCAGAATGGGAGTAATTTATGAGGGATGGGGATAAGGCTGGATTAGCGAATCCGTGATGACTTATAGAGGGCGCTAGGCTTTCAAAGAATGTCGAGGGTGGGAGGGTTCAGATGATGAGCAGGGTGAAGCTGGGAGGAAGGATGATCGGAGGAGCTGATTGAAAAGGTAGACGGGATTCGAGAGTAGTGAGAGTTGTAATTTGTTACCTATGCGATAATGTAGAGGCGCATTGGCGTTTGAAAAAGTCATCAAATGTTCGCTGGAAATATGTTTTGATGACGTTGGCCTGCTTGTGTGAGATTGTCATGTGTTTCGATATCTGGTTTGAGTCTCCAGCTGGTTCGCGTTGGCGCACTAAGGCCCTAGTGACACTTGATTTCAAGTGTCACTAGGCGATTTCGGTACGCGCAGGCTTAGCCACTAGCCGATTGGTGTAAAATAGCGTTTAGTGTCACTACGTAGTAGGTACCTTCAAGTGTTACTTGGCCGCCTAGTCTTACTAGCTTCCTAGTGTGCCATCTCGAATCGGCCTATAGTCCAACTCTGATCGTGTGACTGCCCATCTCCGTCAGACATCATCCACTCGGACCTGAAGCCGTCCAACTTCCTGATGGTGGCCGGCCGGCTGAAGCTGATCGATTTCGGCATCGCCTCCCAGATACAGTCCGACTGCACCAGCATCATCAAGGACTCGCAGGTATAGTGACATAATGATCGCTAGTTTTGGCCGCTATTGTTCGTCTGTTATTTTAGCGTGTTTTTGTAATACTCGCCATGACATATTGTGTGACAGCTTATGAAATCGTGAAACGACACGGTTGTATGCATTATGCTGAACATCAAAGTTGACTGGCTGGATGAAATGATCCTGCCGACAGTATCTGTAGCCTGGCAGGCGTAGTGCTGCTCCATTGAGAGTGCTTTGTCCTGTTCGCATAAAATACCCTGTTTATATGTTGTTTGTACTAACCGTGTGCTTAACATTGCCGCAGGTGGGCACCTTCAACTACATGAGTCCGGAGGCGATCGAGGCGCAGCAGGTGACGAGGAACGGCGCGTCCCAGACGGCCATCAAGGTGAGAGACCGGGGAGGCCGGGGTAGAACGGGGGCGGGACCGGAGTGAGTCTGCCGAGGGACGCGGAGGCCGGGGTAGAGCAGACAGTGGTGCCGGAGTTGTGGCCTGCTGAGAGATAGTGAGGCTGGGGTAGAACGGGAAGCCGCCGGGGGGCGGCGCCGTACTCGGGAGTGCTGTGGTAGGCAGGGGTATATCAGCGCGCCGGAGCGACCCGTCCCGCTCGGAAGTGACGCTCCGAGGTTCTGTGAAGCCGCGTCCCGTCCGATGACGCCCCTGTCGCCCGCACTATTGTCGGTGGACCCGAGCGCGGGGTCTGGTCATGAGCAGACACCGGTCCAGCGGCTGCCCCACCCTGTGTAAACGCCGCTCGCTTTGAACTGCGCTCTCACACCGCGCGAATGCAGCCACCAGTCATCGTTCGGCCGCACTCTGTTTATTTTGGTGTCTGATTAATGTCATTTGTGTTTGTCAGCCTTCTGGGAAATTTCCATACTGGTATTTTTATTACGTTTGTTTTATGTTTCGTGATTTCCTCATAGCCGGCTTGTCCTGGAAGCGTGTGTTACCTCATCACAACAACGTCCGGCGGTCGAAAACATATAACTTTCTTTTGCGATGTTAGCTGAAGTGTTTTTACAGTTCGATAAATGTGTGCCATTTCAGATCAGCCGGAGGTCAGACGTATGGAGCCTAGGCTGCATCCTCTACAACTTTGTCTACGGCATTACGCCGTTCGGACACATCAAACAGGTGAAAACCGACGGCAAACCGTCTGGCTGGGCTGACTAACATTGCGCGAGCGTATGACGTACTGTGTAGCTTTCGGCCGGGTTCGCCATGCTGCGATACCGCCTAGTCGTGCGCGGTGACGGCTCGCTGTTGCTTGTATTACCGAACCGTACTGTATGGCCTGAAGCACTTTTTCTATCAATCTACTGGCATTCCTCTGTCCTCGTGCCCTCTCCGTGGTCTCGCATGCCCCACTAACTCGCCCGCATCTCTCCCCCGCAGCCGATGGGCAAGCTGGTGGCCATCGTGAACCGAGAGCACCCGATCGAGTTCCCCCCGGTGGCCGACTGTCACCTGCTGGCCGTGCTGAAGGGGTGTCTGCGGCGCGACCCGTACCAGCGGCCGAGCATCGAGCAGCTGCTCTCGGACCCCTACCTGACCGGCTGCCGGTGTCAGGTGAGTCAGTCGGCCGGGTCCTGAACGGTGGGAGGGTTGGTGCGTGTGGGGAGGTTTGTGTGAGACGGCCTGAGCTTAGTGTTTGTGCGTTGTGTGTGTGTAACTGTATGTATTGTGTGTTGGGCAGTGAGTGGTAAGAATTGGGGCATATGTCAGGGCTGTGGAATGAAGACAAGTACATATGCACGGACTCGAATTAGACTTCAAGCCAGCAGTTTACATAGAACCACATGGAGCGCTGATAGCTCACTGAGCCTGCCGGAACAGCCAGGGCACACCCGCACACGGGGCGCTGTGTTGTGTGCTCTTAGGATGTGAAAATATAGCATTGGTATGAATTAGGAGCGTCATAGATTGCTATTAAGTTGCAACAGCCATGCGTCGTGAGCTAGCCTGAACGCAGTCCGTACAAATATTGTCAGTCTGCCTTTTTTCCTTCGGCCGATTACTGCTCGCATAATGTTAGGCATGTGTGGCTTGTGGGCTGGAAGCTGGTGACCTCCGTAATCTGTGTTCCCTAAAACCCAAATCAGCCTCGTCATTATGGGTGGTGTGTGCTTTGAGCCATCGTTTCTGTGTAATATGTGTCTGTTGGTAGAGTTGTATGCTGTGTCGTCCATGTCTAGTTACGTCTGTATAGATAACCTAGAGCTGTCAGTGCCCTCACAACATCGTCCTGTGTGCGGGTGTACGCTGGCTGTTCGTATAGACTGTGTGCTCCCAGCGCTCTATGTGGTCCTATGTGTACCGCCCGGAGTCTGCTTATGTACTCGATGCGTTGGCACTTCTGTGTTAGTTGAGCAGACGCTGTTGTGGGGTTTAGACGAGCGACGTGAAACATCAATGAACACGGCCTTATTTTTTTTCTTCCTTAACCCGCGAGTTGCTGGGGGGGGGGGGGCGTTAAACGCCCCCACTTTTTTCGCGGGGCCATTAAATTTTGGGTACCTGTAGGGAATTGATTGAAGTTTATTGTGACAAAGTTTCAAAAAAATGGTCGGAAAATTTTTGAGATATCGAGGTTTTAGTGACGTCATGATTTCTGAGTTTTCGATCAAAAGCGGCATATGTTCAAAAAATCGTATAAAATCACAGAATAGTCATACAGACATGCCGTAAACGCCATTAGACTGCCAATACCATGAACAATCAAATGGCTATCTTCGATTATTGATTATGGTTCCGCATTTTCCAAAATCTTGAACTGAATCTTGGCAATTTCTCGTGACTACTTCACGACCATGATACATGCATTTCTTAAATTGAACTTTTTGAGTCAAACACGTACACATATGATAAAATGAATGTGACCATCGTGTTCTACGCCCCAAATTACCCATAAAACATGTGTCACAGGCTACGAATATCAGTTTCGATTTTCGGGGATATGTGCCTACCCGGTTGACCTGACCTTGACCCTGACCTATGCTTGACTGACCCCTACATGGAGCTGACACTCTTGTAGGCCTTATATGATGGATTGTGCACCGTTTTGACAGAGTTTATGACGAGAGGCGCGCCCATTGCGAAGTCCTGAAGTCCATGCTACTGAAAGCCCGATTTCAGGTGTTTGACCTGACCTTGACCCGACCTGTGACCTCAAAATTCAACTTTAAAGTACTCATCTGAAGCGTCTCGTCGCGTTCTTTCGTTTGCCGCCTCGTGCGTTTCGCTGCGCCTATTGGTTCTCGAGTTATCGGCTGGGGGCGTTTAACGCCCCCCCCCCCCCTAGCAAACGGTGGGTGGCGAAATACCCCAGCAACTGCCGGGTTAAATCGTTTAATGGGCGTGTTAGGTATGAATGTCAAGTCACACACATGCTGCACGTGTGCTTCATTTAGCTGGCGTTTGTACTTTGTAATGAGACGACAGCCTACCAACTCATCCTCGAATCGCTACCGTCTGTTTTATTTTTAACCTCTGATTACAATTATAGTTTGATTAGACGTGTTTAGCTTCTTCCAATGTCAGTTGATTATTGTACTGTTGCTGGCCAGCGCAACAGCATGTCGCGCCCTGTCCCACCCCTCCATCCGTCTGCATTTACTGAATAACCAGTGCTGCTCTCTCCCCCGTCTCTCGTCTATCCCGTCTGCTCGTCCGTCTATCCCGTTCACTTATCACTCCTATCCGTTCGTCTCTCCCGTCCGCTCGTCTATCCCGTCCTCGCGTCTCCCGTATCCATAGTCTCCGTCTATCTGGGCGTATTCCGTACGTACCTTCCGCTCCCACCGACCGGTCCCTTCTGTCTGTGTCGTCTCCGTATCTCTCCGGTTCGCCCGCTGACCAGCCCTCTCGTCTGTGTCGTTCATCACTGACCGATCCCTTCTCTCTGTGCCGCAGTGTCAGAAGTGAGCCGTCGCCGCGCAGTGTGCGTCTACTCCGCCGGAGCTCTGTACAAGCCACCGTTGGACCGGGTCCGTGTCCAGTGGATCCGGCCGGCCGTCAGACGGGGTCCGTGTCCGTGGATCCACCCTGACCGGCCCGAGGGGTGAGTGCCGTGCCGCCCGATCGTCCCATCCCCCGGGACCCGAGTGTTGCCGATCGGTTACTGCAGGAACCGCCTCTGATTCGCGGCGGTTTGTAACATGAACTACTTGCCGATGAGGCCAGACTCGGCGACGTGCGGCGGCCCTGAGTTATGCCACCAGGGCCGCCTAGAGCGAATGAGACTATACTACGGGAGCTAATGTCCCGCGCTGCTGGTAAGGTCGGGCACCGGAGCGGACTGAGGCCTGCCGCCAGCGAGCGCTGCTTATCCTAGAGGGTACGGCGCAGACGTGCCGTACTGCGTTCGTCTTCCCTGGCTGTCCTGACTGTGTGAGTGTTGTATGTTGTGAATCATAGCATGCTGAGATATGTGTCCAGAAAACTAGTGCTTTGGGGCCGTGCCAATCTAGGCTTGCGCAAATCGCCTTTATAAATATACGCAGGAGTCGCTATTATTAGTTTGGTGTTGTGTGGAGGTTATTGATTTTGCCACTACTGAAGAAACATTACTGTCCTAAGCAACTGTTCTGTTGCCGCTTGCAGATAAATGTTTTTTTTTTTTACAAATAAAACTCTGAGTTTTAGAAACATTAACAAGGTGAGAGGTCCGCAAAAGTCATGGATGATTTTGTAAAACAAGGATTGAGATTGAATAATTGTGGCATTGCAGAGTATGTAGCAATGGCATATTCGTGGAAACTTTTCCCTAAAAACAAAATAACCAGATGGATGATGTATTTGGTATATCGGCTGGCACTGTTCCGGAGCTGCGCTCCCTCAGACATCCACTCCCACTGCCACACGGTCGCTGGGAGCCGGCACGCTCCCCCTTCCTCCGTCTACCTCGACTGCGCTCGGCCGGCCGCCCCTCGCGCCGCGCCGGACCACTGCCGGGCGCTCAGCTGTGCGCCGTGCGGTGGCTCTCCCGCAGTCGGATGCCGTTGATTTTGATGAAGCCCTCGGCGTCCATGGGCTCGTAGTCGCCCTGAACGTCCATGGAGACGAGCTGCTCGTTGTAGAGGCCGATTGGGGCGTCCCGGCTCAGAATGTGTACTGTCGGAGGGAGGGGTGGATATCGGTCACACCGGTGCAGATAGGTAGAATCAGTTATACCACTGAACCAGAGGAGCGGGAGGGAAGAAGTGGTGGCACCAGCACATGAAAATCGGTTTGTGGTCGGCCACGCCAGTAGATTAATATCGAGATGGATCCGTCGGTCCATCACACTTGAGGAAAGAGTTGCGTGAGGGCAACGTGTGGGTAGAATCGGTAACTGATACCGCTGTTTATCATGCATGAAATAGGGTGAGGCTTTCATCGGTCACGCTCTGATATTGTGACCTAAATACCCTTCTTTCTTTCTCTATGACAACTTAGAGAGTCGTTGGTACTCACACTGCCGGGAAGTGCCCGGTTTCCCGACTGACCTGAGCCCTTGTAGAGTTTGCAGTGCACAGTGCCGGTCACGTCTTTCTGCGATGCCTTCACACAGCCAAACACGTACTGGCCTTCCGGACTGAACCAGAAACCTGGTGGCATCAGGAGCAAAAGTCAAGGGTGTTCACTGTTCAGCCTGGAAGAAACAGGGACTTGTCATTCTAGCAGAGGTCGATGGTGATCACTGATCATTTACACCGGTGCTGCTTTTATGAGGACGAGGAGTCATATGAGACGAGAAACTATGAGGCAGGTATTTGCAGGCGCGCCGATTTGTTATGGTGGTTCGCGATATGGTGATGGCGTTCTAGCATTGCTTATGGCAACAGCGGTAGGGCAGTAAAGAAGTTGGGAGTGCGCAGTATTTTGATGACACCAGGGGCTGCCATCACCACCAACCCCTCTCCATCCCTATTCCTTGTTCAGCAGACTCGGCCACTGTGCAGCTTCCATTCAGTCAGCCGCATGCTGTGTATAACTGTGTCCGTGAATTTCACAGAGGGATGCGTTTGTGTCGGTGATCACATAGTCAACACATACAGCAGGGCACGTGTCTCTGGATCGCTGCGCTAAAGGTTATGTCGCAGACCGCGCCAGACGCGGCTGTCTGTTTCTGTCCGTCCCGTCTGAGCGGCCCCAGCTGTGCCGCGAGCGATGACACTGCGCGTGGCGCCATTGACACACCGACCAGTGTTTATACGTTACGTCATAGGGGTCTGGTGTCGGACATGGACACCAGGAAGGCAAGTCATGACCAGGACATTGAGCAAACCTGGAATGGCACTGTGGAATTTGCGCTCAGTTGACGGTGGGTTATGTGGCCCTGTGGCTTCTCGGTAATGTTTGTCAGTCCTCTGTTTTGGCCTTTTGGGCATACAGAAGTAAAGAAAGGTGTAACATTCACGCTGCGTATCTGTCTCGCGCCAATCCGCTCAAATGCAATAATTTGTCAACTGAAGTACGTTACATAAAAACTTGATAGCCCACTGCCGAAGTGATGATAGTTGATGCGGACACCCATCGTTGACCGCAGAGCCAGTTCAGTGTTTTCTACTTACCGTTAAAGCCCAGCCCCTCACCATTGTAGCAAGGCTCTCACCGCTACAGTTCACTCACCGCTGTAGGCAAGTTACTCACCGTTGGTTCTCACTCACCATTGTAGGCGAGTTTGGCCAGTTTGACGGCGAGCTCCTCCTTGATGTGGAACACCTCTCTGTCCAGCGTGTAGGTCTCCAGGTCCAGGTGGGTCTGATAGAGAATCTCACCGCCCGGACACTCGTACACGCCGCGGCTCTGCCGAGGTGGAGGGAGATGGTCGTATCAGACATCCTGGTGTCGGACATGGGCACTGGGAAGGCAAGTCATGACCAGGACAGTGAGCAAACCTGAAATGGCGGTAGTCGTGTTGGACGGGATAGGGGCGCCGTGCCAGATAGTGGCATTGTTGGACGATACGTAAGGCGGCGTGTCAGGCATGTAGTGGGAGGTCGTTCCAACGAGTGGAGAGCTATGCTTGACCTCAAGTGAGGGATGATGTCGAACTACCAGCGGTGTATTCCGTGCTGAGCTTCGGTCGGTAATGACACCGCGAAATGAAAGCCCAACTGTTGACTGGGTGAATGGCTTAGAAGCGGACAATCATCTACAATGGCGAGCAGGGATGGGCGCTGAATGACGCGTCCGAATGCTCTTAAAATCAGAGCATCATCAAAAAGAACAAAGCCGTGGTGGGTAAGCACGGTACAGGATTTCCTGTGTCTTTGATGAAACACAATGGCACACATCACAATCTGTGCTGTGTGGTGTTTACCGAGCTCCGCCATTGGGTGTGACTGGATTTGTGCCATTGTGCCATTTCTAACGTTGGCGTCAAAAAGAAATATGCGTGTAACGTTCCATTGTTACGTTTCCAGCTCGTAACGCCGCATGCCCGTTCCATTGTTTCTCTCAAATCAGCACTGTCCACGTCAGATTCATATCCGTACGTCTACCCTTCGTCCCGTCGCCTACCTTGAGTCCGACGAAGCGGTTCTCAACTATGTCGATGCGTCCGACGCCGTGTCTGCCGCCGACCAGGTTTAGGTGCTCCAGCATCTTGTACGGGTCGGTGATCTCCTTGATTTCGGTGTGGTCCATCACCCGTATGGGGATTCCTGTCAAAGAAAACACATGGTGGTTAACCGTATGGTTATCGCAATGATAGTGTCGGGGACTGCGATCAGCTTGAGCTTGGTTGCGCAGGCGTAATCAAGTGTAGCCTGCAAAAGACGAGCACAGCGCCTTGCATTTTTGCTGACGTAACTGATGACTGCTTTGGTTTTTAGCTAATAGATAGTCTCATTTTGTTACACAGGTCTCATGTGATATCAGGTCGATGTTCGATGCCCACCCACACGGTAAGTATTTTTCCGTCTCCAACTAACGACGGCATGCTCACCTTCCTTGAAGTGGATGGTGAGCAGATGCGGCTTGTCGGGCGCACTCTCCGGGTCAGAGGTCATCTGGTACAGGTCGCGCGGGGCCACCGTGCTCGGCTTCTCCAGGACACCCGACTCGTAGCTGGAAACGTGCCAAGTAAAGGTCATCAGTCTCGACTCTATGAGGAAATTATAGCGAATCCGATCGTCTCACTGTCGATGCGTCTGGGCTTACGAGGTGAGGAGTCCGGTTTCAATGGGAAAACAGATTTGCCTTAGTCTTTCTTTATTTATTGTTCAGCTTATTATGGAAAGATTTCTATTCCTTCGTTTTTACCGCACTACTGTTTATTTGTTGTTGCTGTTGATTTACTTAAGTTTCAACGAATGTCGTCATTGAAACAACGTGCTGAAGTCTGGGAAGCAGTATCGGTGTGATATGCTTTGTGCAGTGTGTGTCGTGTCTCGTGTCCTCGTGCTATGTGATGTGCACTGTGCTGTACTGTGTCTTGTGTCGTGCTGTGCTGGCTGTGTTCTGTGCGATGTTCGCCGACCTGATGTGCAGCAGGTTGGCGTCCATGGACCACGGCTTCTTGGGTGTCACCGGCAGTGGGATACCGTTCTGCTGGGCGTAGGCGAACAGGTCGGCACGCCCCTGGAACCGGTTGTAGAACGACGGCATCCGCCACGGAGCCAGCGTCTGCCGGAGGGGGGGGGGCATTGGCTTACTGTGGGTGAGAAGCTGGCATTCTGCGGCATAGCATGCTTGGGTCATCCCTGACTGGCCAGGACTGGAATATTGAAGCGCAGACTCTCAGTGGCCGCGATGGGATGGTGGCATGCTGATAACGCCCCTTCTGCTAAACAGGGACCTCCTATTCATTTCGCAACTGTTTATCATAAGCACAAGCAGTGTCGTAACTCGGAAACACCAGACAGTACTCGGTCAAGGGATTCCCATGACATGAATATTCCACAGGGAGTGACGTATTTTTGTTTACCGTACTTATTCCGGACCACAACGCAGGGTCGTCAAACTACGTAGATCAGGATACGAGTACCTATACCCTTCTGGTGGCCAGAGGTCTGTATTTTTACCTTGATGTTGGGCGCCAGGGCGGCCACGCCGAGCTCGAAGCGCACCTGGTCGTTCCCCTTGCCCGTGGCTCCGTGGCTGATGAACGAGGCCTTGTTGTCAATCGCTGCCTGCACAATACCTGTCCAAAGAAGATAGACAGTGCACAGCTATATCACTCAGGTCGGTAGCTGAACTACTCACTTTCATTGTGGTAACGCTTCTTTATCTGCCACAGGTCAATGCTGGGCGTGGTGAACGATTATGCACAAATCGTTTGACCATAAATGAAACGGTCGTTTGTAACATTATTCGATAATTTTTATTGGCAGCATATCATTTGTGAAATCAAACCATGCATTGCATGTCTAAGGATGGAATTGGTCTTTAAACTCGATTAATTGAGAATCAACTTCTGTATTCTACCATAAACCTATCATGGATTATGGAACATGATCGGCACGTCGCCTCGGCTCTCCCCGACCTTATTAAATGCATAAAATAGGAATGGAAATAGCTAGCGGCCCGATCAGCCTACCTTGTACGATACAAGGCCGTGCCACGGACGTTCCGAGCAGGTAGCGTTTCTCATAGATGAGTCCGCACTGGACGGCCGGCCAGATATAGTCGGTGACGAAGACATCGCGTCGATCATCGATAATCACCTGAGGGGCGCAGAGCGAGAGGAGGTCAGAGAGAGAAAGAGAGAGAGAGAGAGAGAGAGAGAGAGAGAGAGAGAGAGAGAGAGAGAGAGAGAGGGGTGACGGGAGAACGCGTGTGGCGGAGCTGGTGACAGGCGAGGGAGCCAAGAGACGTTGCGCTTATCCTATTACACGGATAACCGCATTTCCAGATTCCCGATCGTATATTCTCGACCTTTGGCGGATATTGGGGACGGTGACCAGGCAGAGACGGGACGGGAGCTGGTAGAGCCGAGGGAGGTCCTGGGATATGGGATTAGGGGACTGTCGGAGAATGGCGATGGTGACCGGGTGGGAGCGAGGGATGAGTCCTTTCAGCACCAATTGATAAACATATTTGACGTTACTTGTAGTTGGGTCGACCTGTAGGTGTAATTTTATTCAATAAGCATTAAAGGGACCCTCCCACCTTCAAAAAAGTTTATGAATTGGCATGAAAGTGATGTCGCTCGGTTCAGAAAGAGCGAAAACGAATATCTACCAAATTTCACCGAAAAATATTCACCGGTTTTCAAGATATTAGACTTTTACTTTTGTTTACTTTTTGGGATCTCCGCTGTTCCTAGCGACTTTATTTAAAAGTGCGGCATTTGTTGCGCGCAACGCAGCATATACCACCGCGTGCTACAAAACGTTTTAGTCAAACATTTAACGGACGTTCGAAAGCCTGATGACGTCATCAGATTCCCGTAATGGTTAAGAGATAGGGACCACGCTGGTCCCACCCTGCAAGTAAAGGGAAGAAATTTCTTGAACACCATAAAGCTGCGGGGGTTGCGACCAGGATAAATGGTGGTTTCTGAGCCTGGCCGCAAACTTGGCTATCTCAACTCAAAACTAATGTTAAGGTGGGAGGGTCCCTTTAAGCTGTTGTAGCAAGTGACCGAGGCTGGGACAGGAATGTTACGGAAGGCCAAGTGCAGGCCGAACATATGAATATGGTTTTGGGATTTGGCTTCCGGGGATGGTGAATAAAGGTCGATTTATCATATTCCATACCCACTCCAATGTCAGTATAAAACGCGACACAGTTTCAGTTCACCCACCTTTATGGCTCCGAGTTTCTCGGCCTTTTGTTTGGCGGCGGTGAAGTCCTCGTCCTGTCCGATGTTGGCCAGGTAGGCCACCACCTGGTAGCCCTGTTCACGAAGCCACACCAGGATACACGACGTGTCCAGGCCGCCCGAGTAGGCGAGCACTACCGTCTTCTGCGCACCAGAGTCCGCGTGGGAGGCCATTTGGAATGTGGAGAGAACTCGGTACGGTTGAATTAAGTGCGGTTAGGCGGTGAGTTGAGTGAGGATGGGACAGAGTGTACAGGCAGCGACTGAGAGAGGCGGAGGCTCGGCCGATACTGTACGCCGGTCGACGGACGGTCTGCGACACACCAGAGCGGACGAAACAGAACCGAGCCGACCGCCACCAGAGGGACGAGTGGTCGCCGGGACGGCCCGCTCCACCGCGGCGGATACTACCCCTCCCCGTACCGTGTGATCCCAGCCCCGCGGGCTCTGTGATCTAACCACTCCTCTCCGCAGGACGAGGGGCGTTTCTGGTCGGGTGGGCTGTATGGTGGCAGCTGTGACTCGGCGTTTTGAGCACTCAACGACCGGCGGTGCCAGACTCCGCGGCGGCGCAGCTGGTCCTTCAGAGCACATTGTGTCCCGGTCCCGACCGATCGGGGAAGGGGCTTGGGCGTGGCCGGGGTGTCAGCAGAGGGACCGGAAGGGAAAAGGTCCTCTCTTACCCTTCAACCCCGCTCTCCGCTCTTGTATTAGCTAGAAGCGGTTTGTCAAAGCAGGCACTTTTGTTTCTATTTATTTATTTTTGATAAATTATAATCGAGACATATTTTTTAATGAAACCCTTCCGCCTATCCCGTCCCTAGCTATTTGAAAGTTTTGTTTCCAGTTGTATTGGTGAATCAAAGAATAAAAAGACCTTTGACTTCATCTCAAATCTTATTAACCCATTCATTTTAAAATGCATTCAACCTATTCGATCGAACACGCTCTTGTCTGTTTACAATGTGCGATGGCCTTCATTGGTTTTATTTCTTTGGTATAACTCGATACTTCACTGAGTGAAACAGTACTCCAGGAAAAAATATTGGCCAGTAATCGAATCGATTTTTTTTTATGGACTGAATTTAGTCCGGGAAGTTGGGAATGGCGCTCGATCATGGCACGCTGACCGTATTGAGGCGAACACAGCCCGCACGTGTGTAGTTACGTGCGCCACAAGTGCGTGGGCCTGCAGACCGCCGAGTGCTGAGTCGTGTGGTGCGGACCACGCTCCGGATGCGTGCTGCGCATGGCGTCTGTATGTGTGTGTGTGTATGCCTGCATATGGTCGGAGCGGGATGAGACTGCAGACTGCTGGAGGGGCGTGCCAGTGCGGATGCTCTGATCATGGTGACTATAGGTTTTGATTGACCTCCAGGGCTAAAGTTTTGTGCGTCCTTATTCAGTTAAGTGATCAAGAGGAATTATTTGGGAGTTGTTTCCATTATCAAATGACTTCCATCCATGCCATCTTTGTTAACATCTTTATTTTTACACATAGGAAGACGTTATACGCCCATGTTCTACATATTGATACGTTCCTGGCTTTAGCTTGTATGACCTTTAATAAAAATAACTTCGCGTTTAAACGGCGCCCTGGGGTTTTTGACAAATACGGCGCTATGAATAACCTTTTGTAAAATGAGGCAACGCTAGCCCCATGATTGCGCGATCTGACCTATCGCAATGGCTGTAATAATGAAGACAGCTCTGAGCAAAACACAATGTAAGCGGTAATACATTTATTGAAAACTGTTTGCGGCACGTAAAACAGCAGTAGGTATCGCTGTGCTCGCGGGGTTCGCATATGTTTTCCATTACATATTGCTGCAACAAAACAACTTCACTTCAAAGAAAAAGACATGGAAAGTACACGCCTCCTATAGAACGATAAATATGCCATAAGAAAAATTACATACATTTATCTCTGAAGATGGTAGGTACTAGGTAGGTATGGTATGTCGCATGAGCTATTGCACGGCCCCATCCATGAATCTATATAAAAATCAATATAACAATTATCGAAGGAAATGGAATGTCTAAGCAAGAACATGTCAAATACCTACGTATGTACATACAGGATTGTTCGCACCCTCTCGACTTGTCTGGTGCAGGGGCCATATAGGTGCCCACCACCAGCGTTTAATTAATGGTCGATTTGATTCAAAACTGACAAGCGTCGTACACTTTTCTTATTTCAAGTGATAAAATTATAAATGTAACTTTATGTCCTACATAATCGCATCGAAGTGACTACGCTGCGTAACCGCTTGATTCGATGAATAACCTTTATCATGCCTTTATCGTAATAAAAGCCAGGATTTTTTTCGTAGCATTCTCAGGCGGCCCAACCCCTACGGCATTTTTTGTGCTTCAATATGCATGACAAACTATCTACTCACCAAATGACTAGCAGCATCGTGCAGTGGCAGCACTGTCACTCGAGATGAAAAATGCGATTGCCTATTGCGATGGGTTTGCATTTTACAAAGGATGGCGTACGTATCTCGGTGTCCCAGAGACATGGACACATTGCACTTCAGTATTTGTGGCCGGTCGTTAACTCGTTACATCAAATCCACTCGTATTTTCTCTTGGGTTGCCTGCAAAACACCCAACACTGACTAGTTGACGCTTTGCTCCCTCCTATTCCACTCATTACCGTGGAACTTCTAAGCTTCTCTCCTTTGATTTTAATGACCTTGTCCAATGGACCATGTGGGACCATTGGCTTTACGGTCTCTCGCTGGCTTCACCTTACAGCTATACGTCAAACACCGTTTTCTCCTCACTGGCCTCCGTCCTTTCTGACCAGCTCTCCCCTCTCACGAGAGCCAGCGCGCTGGTCCTTACTGACCAGCCCTGCCGCCGTGCGCCGGTCGCTCAGCTCTTGAACATGTCGCAGAGCAGCTTCTCCATGGGCGTGTTGCCGATGGTGCGTCGGAAGAAGATGGCCTCGATGCGCGGCGCCGGCACCGCCCTCAGCAGTGGCAGCATGAGCAGCATTCGTCCGAAGCGGGCCGGCTGGGCCAGGTGCTGGCCGCGGGCGTGCTGTCCCAGCATCACCTGTGCCTGGTCCTGCAGGTTCTCCACTTGGGCCGGCTCCTTCAGACCGCGAGCCTCTGGAACGGACGGGAGGCAGTCAGGAGACGATCAGGACCGAACAGAAACGGTCCTAGAGCTCAGAGGCGGACGGGGAAGTCAGGAGGGGAGAGGGGACGATCATATGGAAGATCCGGGGATCAAGGTCCCGATAATCAGATACATATTTATTTCTCAAAGCTAACAGCCTGGCATTGCATTGCAAGTTGACTTGCCATAATTTGAGCGTTTCGAACTTTGAGCTAGCGTTCGACTCGCGAGGGCAAATACATAATTTATTTAATGGGATAACTTTCTGGTCTCAATATCGGTCTGAATAACACTAACCCGACTTGAAGAGGACGACCGCCTTGAGGCAGGCGAACTCGGCCGGGTCGACGGCGATCAGCTTGTACTTGGCGCAGACGTCGGCCAGCCGGCGCACGTCGGCCGCCAGGTGTCCCGCCTTGCCGTCCGGTACGCTCTGCACGTGATCGGAGACGCTGAACAGCGGCGGCGTGTCCAGCGGCAGACACCACTGGATGGCGCACAGCAGGAACAGCTCCGACCACGCCTCCTCCAGCAGGATCACCTGTGGTGGGGGGCAGACGGCGTGTGAGACTGGAGACTGGTGGTGCTGATAGACGAAGCACGATGAATGAGATGGAAGTTATTCATCACTGGACGCTTGTGATGGCAACCTTGTGGAAGTTACACAAGCATCTGTATGAAAATCCCTGGTTAATTAATTAATGGACACTTCCTGAAAGGGTATTGCTCGTTTACTTTGATTTACGAGTATTGCTTAGAAGCTTACATAAAAGAACGTGTTTGTGGTCAAGCTTATATTTTCGCGCACAGATGTCGCTGGTGTCTAGCGCCTGAGGGTATACTGTACCGCAAGACATTTATCTACGAGCCGCGCACGGCGTGCTGGCTGTGTTCCTAATATGTCGGTCTAACTTATATGTAGGGTAATAAATGATACTACAAAAGTGTCCTAAGAAATGGATAAAAAAATTGATTTTTAAAGTATACAGTGGCCTTCTAACTTAATTAACCCCTAACGTACGCCATCGTCTGTTCTCCAAACATGAGTCTCTTTATGCGCCTTTCATCCACACCCGTCTGCACCGCTCACCTGGTCCCTGAATGACAGACTGGCGAACGAGGGCAGATTCTTGGCCCACTTGATGGCCATGAAGAGGAGGCGCGCTGAGTTCTCGTAGATGCTCTCCTGCGGCTGTGTGCAGAAGGCGGGTCGCTCCAGGTAGGAGGCAGCCGCCGGGTGCAGCGGCGGCCAGCCGGCTGAGAGAGCCAGCGGCGGCGGCAGCAGGCCACAGCCCTCCTCCGACTTGGGCTCCGGGCTCGACAGCGGCTTATCTGGCGTGGTGAGAGCGATCCAGGTCAGGAATGGGCCGATGAGTGGAACTGCCCTGAAGTAAAACCCGTGCTGCATTGCTATAATGCCCTCTAATAATTCATCGTGTGTGAATCCTCGCTAGAGAAGTTATTTACGTTGAATATACAAGACTCTTTCAGCACGAGATCATTGCTCTGACTCTACACAGGACACCGATCGACAGAGTGCTCGAAAGGAGTTGAGACGGAGCTACGCTTTTTACTGACTGCACGAAGACTTTATGAAGGCAATGCTAATTGCCAGCCGTGTGTACTCTTATTCTTTACTGGTTGCCTGTCCAGTTATCCTATTTCGCGCTCTTCCAGTAAATATACCCTACCGTGCTGCTCGGCCTGCGGCTGCTGCTGAGGCTGTGACTGCTGCTGCTGCTGTTGTTGCTGCTGCTGCTCGCCCGAGTCCCGCCGGAGGCTCATGTCCAGGCCGGTGGGCTGTCCGGCTGTACCGGCCAGACTGGCCAGACCCGGTCCCGGCGGTGTCAGCGACAGCGAGACGCTGCTGCTCGGGTGCATGAAGCCGCCGCTCATGTAGTGCTGGTGCGCCATCATTGACATCGGCGGACTGGAGGAAGAGGGCAGGGCGTTATTAGGGCCGGAGGCGATATGAGGAAACGCTGAGATAAAGCTTTGGCTCGATACAACGGTGTGTCTATCTCCTTCCTTTAGCTCTTTATGATTTTTTTGCATTTGCTCTGAGTTATTGCACAAATCTTTATTAGACATGACATGCGCTCTTACCGCCGTGCATCGATAACCGCTGGCCCGTTGACAGAGAAGTAACTGACCTGAAGACGCCCACGGCCACTGCGGCCTCCCTCATGGCGCGGTCGTGATCCATTTCGGCCAGAACCTCGGGTCGGATGGTGGCAGTGTTCCGAGGCTGGCGCTCGTTCTGCACGGCTGGAACGGACGATAGCCTGGTCAGAGACAGGGCTGGAACGGACGATAGAGTCATCAGAGACAGGGCTGGAACGGACGATAGAGTCATCAGGGACAGGGCTGGAACGGACGATAGCCTAGTCAGAGACAGGGCTGGAACGGACGATAGCCTGATCAGGGAATAGACATCAACTCAGTCAGAAACGGGGGGAGACAGGAGACACCACAGCCCAGTCAGACATGGGGTTGGAACGGACGGACGGGAGACACCAACTGACATAGGGGTCACCTGGCGGCGGGCTGCACCGGCATTGGACGCGGCTGGCCTGCGCCTGGGGTAGGTGGAGCCACAGTAGGTGGCAGCACAGGGCTCTGGCCTCGCCGTCTGCACTCGGTAGAATGAAATTAGGATTACTCTAACTCTGACCTGATCCCTACTGACTTAAAGTTTCCAGCATTTGTTTTACAAGTATAAACAATACGCTGAGTCAAAAGGGCCTCAGGGGAAGTTGGGGGAACGCCGAATACTTTTTTTCTGACGCCCGTAGCACGCAAGGTAGACAACATAGCTATTCTTGTTGGCGTCATTCGAGAGGCCAGTCTTTTGCCTTTCAAACATACCAGGCGCATTTGATGAATTCGCATACCGTTAAGCGCACAAACTCAGGGCGTATTTTAATATGTTAACTGGGTCGGCAATTGCCGACCCAGTCACGGAGAATGCCGACCCAGTGACAGCCGTTTGCCGACCCAGTTGCCGCCCCCTCTAAGATGCAGCACGCACATGCAGGCTAGGTGCCGTCATTCATAGTGAGGCTGCTGCCCTCCGAAATGATAATGCCGCCTCTTAAAGTGAAGCAGCCGTCTATAGAAAGTGATGATCCCGCAACTCAATGTGACAGTGCCGCCCCTAAATCTGTTAGTAGCCCCACTCAATGTAATGGTGCCGCCCTTCTAAGCATCTGTGGAACCCCTCAATGTGATGATACCGCCCCTCAAGAAGATGATGCCGCCCCTTTCAGTATCGGTGGCGCCCCTCAATGTGATGATACCGCCCCTCAAGAAGATGATGCCGCCCCTTTCAGTATCGGTGGTGCCCCTCAATGTGATGGTGCCGCCCTCAAAGTGCCGGTGGCGCCCCTGAATGTGATGGTGCTGCCCGCAAACGAGTCGATGGCGCCCCTCAAAATGATGCTGCCGCCCCTTAAAGTGCTGGCGCCGCCCCTTATAGTGTCAGTGACGCCCTTCGAAGTGTCAGAGGAACCAACCAATATAATGGTGCCGCCCCTCTAGGTTTCCACATAGCCCCTCATTGTGATGGAGCCGCCCCTCAAGCAGATGATGCCGCCCCTCAAGAAGATCATGCCGCCCCTGAATGTGATGGTGCTGCCCGCCAATGAGTCGGTGGCGCCCCTCAAAATGATGCTGCTGCCCCTTAAAGTGTTAGTGCCGCCCCTTATAGTGTCAGTGACGCTCTTCGAAGTGTCAGAGGAACCCAGCAATATAATGGTGCCGCCCCTCTAGGTATCCACCTAGCCCCTCATTGTGATGGAGCTGCCCCTCAAGCAGATGATGCCGCCCCTTTCAGTATCGGTGGCGCCCCTCAATGTGATGGTGCCTCCCTCAAAGTGCCAGTGGTGCCCCTAAATGTGATGGTGTCTCCTGTCAACGAGTCGATGGCGCCCCTCAAAATGATGCTGCCGCCCCCTAAAAGTGCTGGTGCCGCCCCTTACAGTGTGTGTCAGTGGCGCCCTTCAAAGTTTTGGTGGAACTCATCAATACAATGTTGCCGCCCTCTAACTTTCTGTAACGCCCCTCCATATACATAATGGTGCCGCTTCTCAAACCATCCGTGGCGCCCCTCAAAGTGATGGTGCCGCCCCTTACAGTGTCGGTGGTGTCTCCTCAAAAGTCAAGGTGCCGCCTCTTAAAGAAATGCTGATGTCCCTCGAAGTGTCGGAGGCGCTCCTCAATGTCATGTTGCCGCCCCTCAAACCTTTCGTAACGCCCCTCCACGTCATGGTGCCGCCCCCCCCCCCCCAATGTGCTCATGGCGCCCTTAAATGTGATAGTAACGCCGGTCAAAGTGCTCCTGGCAGTGTCGGTGGCGCCCGTTATAGTGTCGGTGGCGCCCCGAACAGTATCGGTGGTGCCCCTCAAAGTGATGATGTCATCCTCAAACAAACGGTGGCGCCCTTTGAAGTATCGGGAGTCCCTAAATATCATACCTATTGCCGCCCATTAACGATCTGTAGCGCCCCTCCATATGATGGAGCCGCCCCTTAAAGTATCCGCGGCTGTCCTTAAAGTTACAGTGCCGCCCCTTACAATGTGGGTGGCGTCCTCAAAATAAAAGTGATGTTGCCCCCCTCGAGTAATGTTGGCGTCTCTTCTTATCGGAGTATGTGGGTGGCGTCTCTAAGTATCGGAGGCGCTCCTCATTGTCATTTTGCCCCACATCACTGCTCACATGGCGCCCTTCAATGTAATGGTGCCACCCGTCAACGCTCAAAGAGATAATTGCGCTCCTCACAGTGTCGGTGGTGTCCCTCAAAGTGGTTTAGGTCTTCACAAAAATTAATTTAAAATTTTACCTGAGGTCAAGTTCATGACCTCACCAGAAATAAAACATGTTGCATACCAGTCGATCCGTATCGTCAAGCTTCAAACATTCACGGTGTTTTATGGCTCCATCTACATAGAACAGTGGTCGGCAGGTCGCACGAGTGGTGCCCACTTTATGGGCGCTGGACGGGGCCATTACCCCCACTTGTCATACCCCATTGTTTACGCAGCAAGGGTCGCTGATAATCGGCCATATCCTTTGACGCCTCTATTTTTCTGCATATAAATAAAATGCAACACAATTAACTCTCTTTTTATGGAGAGGGAGAGCGGGTGGAGTAAAGATAAGCTCATACATTTTTTATTTATTAGTTACTCGCGTAATGAACAGCGTATTGCAACGATACGTTCATCCCCCCCCCCCCCCAAGTTAATGAATGTTATACCTACCTACTCAAACATTTTCGTGACCCCAGTGACATTTTCATTGAGTTTTTGAAATTTGAATGACCCTCACTCGGCAACTTTCTCTCCGGCTCGACCGGCGGACAAAAAGCAAGCGAAGACAATGCGGGGAGACGGTGCTCTACCAACTGAGCTACGGAACAGGCAAATGCTCACCATAGATACACCGACTGAACGATCCCTTTATAACTTCAGCGATTGATAAGACAAACAGTGTGTAACTGTATATATAAAATGTAAGTCTCGAAATTGCGATATCTTTGACCAAAGGTAAGGACAATTTTGCGACCCTTCCATTAGGTATAAGGCAATGGGAGAAAATCAGGGCATGTGCCTCTTTTTATAGGTAGACCAATGTCAAAGTAACGAATTCAAACATCAGAAAACAATAAAAATGACACACTTAATCGGAAAATTGCCACCCACGACCCCTCGTTATGTCCTTGAGGTCATGTCAGGTCATGGAAGGCCTCCAGCAGTTTTTTTCAATAACTTCTGATAGAGACATGCGACATGCCTGAGCGATGAAAACACCTTAGATGATTTCAGTTTGACGAAACAAATGGATTGATATGCAACATGACCTTTACCAGTCAGGTCATGACCTGGACCTGAGCTCTAATTTCCCTAATGACATTTGAATGTCAAAATATAGTTCATTCGACGCATCTCGACGAGAGGAGCACAGTACTGAAAAAAACAATGTCATAATTTTCGTGAGTCAAGAATTGTTACAGTAAAACGGTTCTTCATTAAAACAGCTCAGTAGAGGGGCGGAGGGGGGTCCATTGTCCACTCCAACCCTCTCAGGCCCGGCACGGGTTAAATCAAGTTGTGCTCTGGAGGTTAAGCCGTTGATGTTAAGTCAAGTCTGAGAACTTTATAGGAACGTTGAAGAGCTATCGAATGCGCTTTTTTCGCGGTGCTGTAGTTCTATTCTTCTCCGAGTTATGCGCCAGTTTGTCAATACTCAATAGATGTTGAAACAGACAACATTTCACCCACATTTCACCTTTGATGATCTCTGGTCACCTGATATTTGACTTGACCTAACCAAAGTACGATTAACCAACTAACCCAAGTAGTTTTTGACACTCTGCCGAATACCGCTTACCGCGTGTCGCTCGTGGCCCAGTAGCCAAGTTATAGGGGTCGGGAGGGGGTTCAAACAACCTCAGCCCGGCGCCGGTTAAGGGAAAGCACTGTCATTTTGGGGGCGCTGCAGATATGCTAAGGGACGACAGCATCATTTTGAGGCGCGCCACCAACTTTTTTTTTTAGGGCACTTAAACCACTTTGAGGGGCACCACCGACACTGTGAGGAGCGCAATTATCTCTTTGAGCGTTGACGGGTGGCACCATTACATTGAAGGGCGCCATGTGAGCAGTGATGTGGGGCAAAATGACAATGAGGAGCGCCTCCGGTACTTAAAGAAGAGACGCCAACATTACTCGGGGGGGGGGGGCAACATCACTTTTATTTTGAGGAATTATAGTTCAATTATCGCATTATGACGAGAGAAATACTATATCCCGGAAAAATAAACGTTATACCGCTGAGCTTAGGTTGAATCTGAAATCATTACTTAGAAATAGTTATAAAAGAACCGTCGAACGTGTCTTTTTTTTGTCATTAACCCTCGCCCTGGCAGGGCATTTTTCATAACACGGCCTGGCAGGGGGGGGGGGGGGTCGATGCGACTCCCCTCGCGATTGGCTCCTATGGCACCTAGAAGCACCAAATTTGGTAGGTAGGTGGGCCCTCCGAAGTTCTCGCCCATGTGCAAATTTGGTTGTTCTAGGGCTCTAGGTCAATATTTGGGGGGTTTTGAGGGTATAAATGTAAAAATTTCGCTAAAAACAGGTCAAAGGTTTTTCACTTATACCTTTTAATCTAATTAAGATAGAGTGAAAAGAAAAGCATCGATGAACTCAGCACGTCAAGGCGCGTCGAATGATATGCTTGTTTGCTTGCATAAGTGTACTTAAAG